CCCGCCACCTTAGGTGTATGTGGCTGGCGCCTTAGCCGGTTGAGCTATAGGCGCCGAGCCCAGACAAATTCTTAAAAGAAGATACAACTACTAAAACTGGCTCCAAAAATAAATAGAAAATCTGAATAAATCAATAACAAGTAAAGAGAGTGAATTAGTAGTCAAAATACTTTTCACAAAGAAAATCCTAGGACTCAAGGCTTTAATGGAGAATTCTACCAAATACACTAGAACCTCCATAATTGACTATCTCAAGTTGACCTAATTTTCATAGACCAGACATGCGCCCTCTGTACATATCAGTCCAGGAGGCCTCGTTCCTTATGTCGACCACCTCCATCTGTTGACCAATTTGTTATAGTCCCTTGGGTGGTCAACTTACAGAGGTTCTACTGTATTTTCAAATTAATTTAAACTAATTCCAATTCTTTACCAACTCTTCTGAAGAAGAAAAGAAGAAAAAACTCTTCCTAGCTGATTCTAAGAATCTGGCATTATCCTGACAATAAAACCAGACAAAGACATCACAATCAAATTACAGACCAGTATCTGATGAACATGGAAATAAAATCCTCCTCAAATAGATCTATAGATAAAATGTAGTTCTTCTCACAATCACAGCTGGATTCTTGCAGGAATTAACAAGTTGATCTTAAAATTCTTGTGGAAATTCAAGGGACCAATATAGCCAAAGCTATCTTGAAAAAGAACAATATTGGAGAACTCCCACTTCCCAATTTCCAAACTTAGTACAAAGCAGAAATAGTCAAGGCTATGTGGTTCTGTCATAAGGACAGACATAGATCAATGAAATTGAATTAAGTCAAGAAATAGCTCCTCATGTTTATAATCAATATATTTTTGACAAGGGTGCCAAAGCAGTTCAATGGGAGAAAAATCGTATTTTTAATAAATTATGCAGAGACAACCAGATATCCATATTCAAAAGAATGAACTTGGACTCCTACCTCATACTACATACAAAAATGAACTGAAATAGACCAGAAACCTAAATGTAAAAACTAAAATAGTATAACTTTTAGGTAAAATCACATACATAATCATCATGAGCTTGGATGAGGCAGTGGTTTCTTTGATGTGACCCCAAAAGTATGAGCAACAAAGGAAAATATATATAAATTGAACAGCATTAAAAGTAAAACTCTGATTCATAGACATCATTGCGAAAATGAATAGGCAATCCACAGAATGGGAGAAAAATTTGCAAATCAAAAATTTAACAAGGGACTTGAATCTGGAATACATATAAAAAAAATCTTAACAACTCAACAGTGAGAACAATCCAAAAATTCATCAATTGATGAATGGACAAATAAAATGTTCAGACAGTGGAATATTATTCAGCAATAAAAAGGCAGGACTGAGCCCAACACTATGAACTTGAAAATGTCGTGTGAATAGAGCTCCAGGATTAGAACACAGGCAGTCTGTTTCTGGATTCTGTATGTTTCTACCCTATTTTGTTTGGTTTTCACATTGTCACCTCATTGTTCAGAAGCATTCTGACCGATCTCCACTGTGTAAGAGCATTTGGTCTATCTCCCTTCACTCTAACTTTCTGTGTTGTGCCAACAGAATCAGCAAAGTGCAAAAGAAAGCTGTCAGTGCCATCCACAGCCTGCTAAGTTCTCATGACCTGGACCCTCGTTGTGTCAAACCAGAGGTGAAGGTCAAAATTGCTGCCCTTTACCTGCCTTTGGTTGGCATCATTTTGGATGCTTTGCCACAGCTCTATGACTTTACAGGTAAGGAGCCCTGTGTTTCCCACCCCAGATGGATGGGGCCCCTGCCAAATGCCCAACCAAAATGAGGTCTCTGTGGTTAGCTTTGATGCTAATATGCTTATATGAGCAACCCTTCACACCAGGGGTCACCAAACCTCTTTAACACGGCAGGGGTCGGGGGGCGGGGAGGACCTAGAGTCCTATGTATGTTTTCTTTTTAGAAATTATTTGTTCATTGGTTCGTTCACTGATCTGCTAGGATAGAATGAACTTTATAAACCCATACATGACAGAGGATGAAAAATAACAGAATCACTCATTTTGGAGATCACTACTGTAACACCATGAAATAAAGGCATTTCTTCTCTTTTCTTTATGGTGAAGCAAAGAAGCAGTCTCAAATGAACCCTAACAGTTGTTTTATGCAAAAAAAAAAAAAAAAACATGGTGTGTGTTAGTGTTAGGAAATTCTGCCATAGCCATCTCCTGCTGAGCAGCAAGAAAGGATAAGTTGTCTGAAAATGAACTTGAATAATTAATTTCTAATCCAATCTTTTTTTTTTTTTTTTTTTTGAGACAGAGCCTCAAGCTGTCCCCCTGGGCAGAGTGCCATGGCATTACAGCTCACAGCAACCTCCAACTCCTGGGCTCAAGCGAGTCTCCTGCCTCCGCCTCCCAAGTAGCTGGGACCACAGGCGCCCGCCACAACGCCCGGCTATTTTTTGGTTGCAGCCGTCATTGTTGTTTGGCGGGTCCGGGCTGGGGATTCGAACCCGCCACCTTAGGTGTATGTGGCTGGCGCCTTAGCCGGTTGAGCTATAGGCGCCGAGCCTCTAATCCAATCTTGTCTCTAAAATGCCCAGCACAAGATTGGACTAGAATTTTTTTTTTCTGGATAGAATCAGATAAATAATGTCAAATGTCAGGTTTTAAATGACAGTGCTGACTTAGTGACAAAGAAGTATCAGTCCCTTATTGGGTAGGAGGCACAGGGAAATACCGCCTTGGGCTTGACATCAGCTTCATGTTTTCACTGCAGCTGCAGATGTGCGTAGTGGGAAAAGTCGTCCCAATGGCTCCGATGAAGAACAAGAAGGGGCGAGTGCCATTAACCAGAATGTGGCCCTGGCCATAGCTGGGAATCAGTTTAATTTGAAGACGAGTGGAATAATGGTATCTTCCTTGGTATGTTGGTGCATTTGTCTGGTTTATTTTCATTTTGTGTTTTTTTTCCATCTTATGATGGAAGAACTCAGCTTAGAGCAAGCAGAGATGGTTTCTGCCTTGTGGCTTTGGAAAGAGTCTTTGTAAGGCTGGAGGCTGAGGAGCACATGTCTGGCAACAGCAAGAGATGTGCAGACTAAAAAATTCAGCCAGTCCCAAAGGTGCTGAGTTCAGGTTCAAGAAACCAGGAAAGAGGAAAACTTGGGAAATCTGTGATCATTGCAAAGGAGAACAAGCCAAGGCTCCCTCGGGGTGGAGGTTTGAGCTGTGCTCCTTCTTATTATTCATACCTTGCCTACTTTCAAAAAAAAGTGAAGGAGACTGATGGCCTGGGGTAAGTGCTTTGTAAGCCAAAGACTACAGTTTTTTCTGTGTCCCTTGGGAGCCTAAGGAGAGTTCTTGGGTTCTATATCTTTGCATGACTCTATGACTTAAAGAACCCCTGTTCACTTAACAGCAGGATTCATCTCCGTTCATCTGTTCATTGATGAGCTCTGACTCTCCCTTGTCAAGACAGCATTGCATCCTCCAGCTTTTTTTTTTTAATTTCAGACCAATATGGGCCTACCTATGACATGGTTACACAGCTTGCTTTTGTAAGGTTCAAGTCCAAGTGTAGTGTCTTTCACTCAGGAAGTGTGCAGTACACTCATACCGTGTAGCCTCGGGTGGGAATTTACCCAACCCCTTCCCCCTCTACTTGAATTTGAGTTTTTCTCTCATGCAAATCTGTAGTTGTTAATCTCCTAGCTCTCATTTAGTACTGAATACATGGGATGCTGCTTTTTCCATTCTCATGATGCTTAAGCCAATGTTCTCCAGATAATCCGTGTTGTTAGAAAAGGCATGAACTCCCTGTCTTTTTCTGGCCGGATAGTATTCCATGGTATACAGATTCCACAGTTTATTGAACCATTCACATGTTGGAGGGTACTGGGTTGTATCAACATCTTTGTGATTGTGAATTGCAGGGCTAAAAACATTTGAGTGCAAATATCCTGACGGTAAAATGTCTTTTTTTCTTTTCTTTTTTTTTTTTTTTTGAGACAGAGCCTCAAGCTGTCCCCCTGGGTAGAGTGCCATGGCATCACAGCTCACAGCAACCTCCTACTCCTGGGCTCAAGCGAGTCTCCTGCCTCCGCCTCCCAAGTAGCTGGGACCACAGGCGCCCGCCACAACGCCTGGCTGTTTTTTGGTTGCAGCCGTCATTGTTGTTTGGCGGGTCCGGGCTGGGGATTCGAACCCGCCACCTTAGGTGTACGTGGCTGGCGCCTTAGCCGGTTGAGCTATAGGCGCCGAGCCAAAATGTCTTTTTTTCTTTTGGGTAGTTTCCTAGTAGTGGGGTGGATACCTGCACTTCTGAGAAGTCAGTGTCTCAACCTAACATCTTTGCTGGACAACTTTCTCTTCCCTCTAGCTTTCAGGAATCCCCTGTCTCTATGAGGACTGGGGAGGCAGCAAGGCAGGGTGACAGAAAGGAAAAAGACGTTTGAGATCGGATATCACTGACCTTACAGTTTGAGAAATAGTGTGTGTTTATGACCTTCACTTTTTTTTTTTTTTTGAGACAGAATCAAAAAAGTAAGATTCTGAGTAGAGTGCTATGGCATCATAGCTCACAGCAACCTCAAACTCTTGGGCTTGAGCAATCTTCTTGCTTCAGCCTCCCAAGTAGCTGGGACTGCCTGCACCCACTACAACACCTGGCTAGTTTTTCTGTTTTGGGTAGAGGCGGGGGTCTCACCCTTGCTCATGCTGGTCTCGAACTCCTAAGCTCAAGCAGTCCTGCTGCCTCGGCCTCCCAAAGTGCTAGGATTATAGGCATGAGCCATGCCACCCAGTCTCCACCTTTCCAATATCTGTCTCATCCATGTCAGCTGCTTAAGGCGGAGTGTGCCTTTTACATTATTTGTCTCTGAAGGAGCAACCCAAAAGCCCAAAGTTCACTTGTTAGAACATATTCCCTGTGTAGTTATATCTCAAGATTTTTTTCATTCTTGGCAACAAACTCAGAATAACTCAGAAGTTAAAGTAACTTCATAACCTCTATTATTTCCATCCAAAACTAACATCTTCCTCACATGCTGACAAATACCTCATTGCAATTTCACCACTGCATTCCACTGGATATTAGCTACGCTGCAGGAACCAAGGGCGCAGCCGCCTATTGTTGTTTGTGTTGATCTGATGAGTACCAGAAAGTGTGTTCAGCACTCTAAAATGAATACTTGTGGCCAAAGTATTGAAGCAAGTAGCCTAAACCCCCCCACACCCCTGCCCCCAGGCAAACATAAGTCATGATTAAAGTCCCATTACAGAGGACTCCACTAACACATTTGATTAATTGCTGAGCAGTTCGTGACCCTTATGTTATATTTTGGACTATGTAAAAAAGAGGCTAAATCCTGAACAGTGAGGTTATTCATGGCACCCAGCCAGATTAGTTCTCCTCTGCAAGCCCCACCCTCTGCTGTCCAGCATGGAGATGTTAGCAGCATGAAAGCCCTTTTGAGATTAATGTAGAGCATGGGGAAAGTGCAGGGAAGATCACCACACCACACCACTCCTAAGGCAGAGGGTACTCAGGTCTGTGGCTGAAAAAGCCTGGCTGTAATGCTGAGCAGCCCAGCTCAGAGGACATGGCTTCCCCGCCGACCCAAGGCTGGGCTCCTGGAGACAGCTCCCGGGCCAAGGAAGGGCAGTCACTATATTCTAAGAGAACACTTTGGATAATTCTGTGGCTTGACTTCTCCCCCTGCCCCATCCTTCAACCTTCCTCCCTCCAGCCCTACAAGCAGTACAATGTGCTCAACGCCGACACCACCCGCCACCTCATGATTTGCTTCCTCTGGGTCATGAAAAATGCTGACCAGAGCCTCATCAGGAAGTGGATTGCTGACCTGCCTTCAATGCAGCTGAACAGGATTTTAGATCTACTTTTCATCTGTGTCTCATGTTTTGAGTACAAGGTAAGTGTGGGCGGCTCAACCTTACATCAGTTCTTATCTCCCAAGTTCAATCCTGTCTTGTTACGCTCTTCCTTTTTATTTGGGCAATAGAAGCATCATTATTTTTTCTTATTTTTATCTTGCAATCCATAACCTATTTGCATTTACAGATAGTATCATTTTACAGGGACAAGGTCTCTGCCTTCTGCAGAGAGACCCCCATACTCATTAACAGAATGTTAGCCCCGGGACCACCCAGGATAGCGTCTCTGTGTAGCACAGGTCAAAACTGGCTGACGTCGCCATGGAGCGTTCAGTTTTGACAGTTCTCCACATCAACAGAGATCTCACCAAACGAAGTGTCCTCCTGCCTCTGTCCTTTCCAGGGAAAACAGAGCTCTCACAAAGTCAGTACCCAAGTCCTACAGAAGTCGAGGGACGTAAAGGCCAAGCTGGAAGAGGCTTTGCTCCACGGGGAAGGGGCCCGAGGGGAGATGATGCGCCGCCGAAACCCAGGTGTGTTGCCCTGGCCCTGCCCTTCATGCTGTTAGACAGTTTCTCACGCCTTGTGGGAAGTAATGTCCCTCCAGCACGAGTAGATACCATCACTTTCTTGAGACGTTCATGGTAGTATCAGAGACAAGAGGTTCTGGGATTCTGTGCTTGACATATATAATGTTAGCCTTGTGCTTCTAAGAAAAAGTGATGCTGTAATAACAGGAAGCCCGAAAATGTCCCCAGATTGACCTCTTTTAATTAAAACTCGGTAGTAAAAGGTGACACTCCAGAATGTGAGTCATGGATAAGGTGGAAGGTGTCTCCTCAAGCACCAGGCCTTTCTAGGTGACATTTGACTAGTCTCTCTAGAGCACGATGGAGATATCGGATAGTTTTGGACCCAAGGTCATATCCCTAAATCATTCAGGGTGTTATGAGAATGGAACCACTTCGTCAAAATGGTTTCAGAGTGTTCAGTTCCCCAGGTACCTTACTAGACCAGAAATGATCTCAAAAAGCTGAGTTCATCACTCTAGAAAAAAATGAAACGCCCAGGTACCCTGGGTCTTACTCACTGTGCTCATTGTATAGCAGAGACAGCGTGTTCTATTCAGTGGGACACAGTGTCAGGGGACTTGAAAGAAGCTCAGCTGTGGTTTTCAGCAGTGGTCAGGCACCTTCATTCAACACCCACACTTTCCTTCCCAATCATTCACTGAGCTACCAGCATTTCACTGGAACCCTCTGCTCATGAGAAATGTACTCCCCAACCCCAACACAAGGCCAGGGTTCTTCTAAAGTCGTAGCCTATCAGTGGAAGAGCAGACTGACCCTGGCTCAGGCACGGTGACTTTGTCTCCCACCAGCAACCAACATGGACGCTAACAGCCACAGAAGCAGTGCTGAGGGCCTGTAGCTGAGCTTGTTATGAACTTCTGTTATCTTGGAGGGTTTCATGCTAATCAAATTCCTATCATGCATTTCTTAACTCCTAGGGAATGACCGATTTCCAGGCCTAAATGAAAATTTGAGATGGAAGAAAGAGCAGACACAGTGGCGGCAAGCTAATGAGAAACTAGATAAGTGAGTCACTCAGCAACTTTGTGTTACTTTTACCTAAAGTTCAAAACTGTTTTTCCCAGGCTACTTATATTACTCAAACAACTGCATCCTTCCAAGGGTAAGAAAATGAAACATCATTATCTGTGTAAATACAGTTTATCCAGGGAGCCAGGATAATCAAAGGTATGAGTTGTGATTTCAAGCTCTTAAAAATTTATCATATTGATAAGCATGTAAAGAAAACTAATATTTACTTAGCAACTTCAGATAGTTTAATAAAAGCAGCTGATTAGGGGTGGAGTGGGGAACAGGGAAATAGGAAACGCAGGTTACAGTGCCCTAAGACCACATAATTTCAAATCCACATTTCCATTCTGGAAATGTGTACAAAGATATAGATTTGGGGATATTTATGTCAGTGTTACTTAAAATTGTTTGTAAAACTTGGAAATATTCTACATGCTAAAGAATAGGGAAATATGTATATAATGAAATATTAGGTTGCCAGTAAAATGTTTTGAAAATGACATGGGAACACCAGGCATGGTGGTTCTTGCCTATAATCCTAGCACTCTGGGAGGCTGAGACAGGTAGATTGCTTGAGCTCAGGAGTTTGAGACTAGCCTGAGCCAGAGCAAGACCCCGTGTCTACTAAAAATAGAAAACTTAGGGGGGTTGTAGCAGGTGCCTCTAGCTACTTGGGAGGCTGAGACAAAAGGATCTCTTATGCCCAAGAGTTTGAGGTTGTGGCGGCACTTGTGGCTCAAGGAGTAGGGCGCCAGCCCCATATACCGGAGGTGGTGGATTCAAACCCAGCCCTGGCCAAAAACTGCAAAAAAAAAAAAAGAAGAAAAAGAGTTTGAGGTTGCTATGAGCTACCTAGCACTCTACCCAGGGTGACAGAGTGAGACTCGTCTCAAAAAAATAAAGAAATAAATAAATAAAGGAAAAGAAAAGAAAATGATGTGGGAGACACTTATGATATGTATAATGTTGAGGGAACAAAAGCAGTATAGACACTTGATTTTAGAGTATAATCTCAAATCCCCAATGACCTACAGTAAATACCTTATTATAAGGCTAGAAAGAAATATATCAAAATATTATTTGTGAGTTTGGAGGTGTTGGAAAACAGATATTTGATATTTTCTTTATATTTGAAGAAAATACTTGGCTGTATTTCCTACAGTTGGATGTGTATTATATATATTGCTATCAGGGGAAAAAAATGTAAAGAAATTAAAGAAGAAAAATCCTGCTTGGATTGCAACATATGGTATAGATAGAGATAGATATAATATGTTGATGCATTTGGGTATGTATTGCTTTACATGCAACAATTTGGACTTGTGAGGGCTAAAACTAAATATGTTTGGATAGATAGCACATCTCCTATGCCTCTTAGCCATAGGTAGCCTAATGAATCCCAAGGTTTACTGAGCTAAACATTATACCACACACACACACACACATTGTTGACAAGTCTAGGCAGGATATCCTCATGGTATATGAAGCACCCCTCATGGGATGGGGCATGGGGCTGACTTGAATAGCAATGTCGTAAATGTTTGTAAACAAATATGACTTAGTGCCTTTGCTCTTACCACAAGAATGAATCAATCTGGTTCCCTATGGTACTTTGGGGAGTCCAATTTATTTATTTTTTATTTTTTTTATTTTTTGAGACAGAGCCTCAAGCTGTCCCCCTGGGTAGAGTGCCATGGCATCACAGCTCACAGCAACCTCCAACTCCTGGGCTCAAGCGAGTCTCCTGCCTCAGCCTCCCAAGTAGCTGGGACCACAGGTGCTCGTCACAACGCCTGGCTATTTTTCTGGTTGCAGTCGTCATTGTTGTTTGGCGGGCTCAGGCTGGATTTGAACCTGCCACCTTAGGTGTATGTGGCTGGCGCCTTAGCCACTTGAGCCACAGGCGCCGAGCCGAGTCCAATTTATTTTAAAACACTAGAGCAATAAATACATTTTTATCATAGGTGCCACTTGGAAGACCCAGTTGTTGGTATTTTTAGTAATGTTCATTTTGGTATTTATTCTTACTCTAAATTCCTTGAACTGATTTATAAGATATTTTGGTATTTTAGCTGGGCATTGTGGTGGGCACCTGTAGTCCCAGCTACTCGGGAGGCTGAGGCAAGAGAATCACCTAACCCCAAGAGCTGGAGGTTGCTGTGAGCTGTGACGCCACAGCATTCTACCGAGGGCGACAAAGTGAGACTCTGTCTCTAGGCTATTTATTCTTACTCTAAATTTCTTGAACTGATTTATAAGATATTTGGATCTGATAATCTATACTTTCTAGTTTAGGCGGGAAAAAATAAAAAACAACACAAGCAGTAGTTGCTACAGAACTGCTAAGGTGGTTAGCTCATGCACGCAGTGAGCCGGACAAGGCATGCTTTACCTGCGATGTGTAAATGAATGTTTCCCTTCTGCTTGCAGCAATAACATGACACCGGGTCTTACCATGTGAGGCCTACTCTTCTCTCTAGGTTGGTTCTCAGCCCTGAGCTAGCTGGTGGACGGCCTGTTGTCAGAGCTGATGGTTCGTGTCTTCACATCCTCAGGGGCTATGGCCTTCTTTTCTTTTTACTTTCTTTTTTTTTTTTAACAGTAACCATAGTAAAATTATACATGTAACAGTTCAGTGTGTCTATTTGGAAAACTTACTGTAATTCTATTAGTGGTGTCTTTCACCTTTTTCTTTCTGATCACTTTTCAATTATTTTGAATTATTTTAACTAAAAGAGCAGTAATTTTCAACCTGAGGTGCTTTTGAAGTTTCTAGTGTGTAAGCAACTGCAGTGCTCCCACTGTTGGGTTAAAGGGACTCCAGAACAGCTAAAGTGGTCCTGGTCCAAGATATTTGAGCTGGTAGCATGATGCTCCAACCCAGTAGTAACAGCTTGGCCACTAGACATCTTGGGAACAGACATTCCTTTCTTTGCACCTAAATTTGGACGGTGATACAAAGTATCACTTTCTAGCTTCACTAGGGTTTTATGAGGATAGATAGACTCTCATGAATAAAATGTTATGATTCCTTAAAATGAAACCAATAGAGAAGCAGCACCAGGTAATTTTCCATCCCTAGGGAGAAATGGCCAGGAATGTCCAGCAGGGTGCTTGATCACCTGCCCCATAGGAATGCACCCTTGCTTCTCAGTGGAAGAGGACAGAGACCTCACAGCCTGACAAAGCAACCCCAAGGTAGTCTTTGGGAATTTAAGAAACAGACTCTCCCAGAACCTGTGCTGAAGGCTCACCCTTTCTAACCCAGCAGCACCACTGTTGGCCAAATTTACATCACATCCCATCTCCCTCTCCCAGCATGTTACAGGGGCTTCCCCTGGCTCAGATCTAGAGAAGGTTTTCATGCATGAAATACGAGCATGGCCCTGAAGCTTTAGGCAACAATTGACGGGATAGCATAATTGATGGTAGCAACCAATAATTGCCTCTATACCCATATTGTTATTTTTATAATTGTTTTCATTATTAATAACAGTGTGGATGAGGATGGCCTAAAGCCTTTACATAAACAATCTAACAAGACGCAGATCACAGAAAGCCTCGGCACTCCTTAATTACTCATGCACTGCCAGCTGCTTTGTTTTTATTTCAAGGTTGACTATTCTGAAGATTTCTTTACGCCTTGGTGCATAGATTGCCATCATCGGAACCTGGCCAGGCTTAATACGCACTTTAACTTGACCTCCTTTTGTTTCTTAGAACAAAGGCAGAGTTAGATCAAGAAGCCCTGATCAGTGGCAATCTGGCTACAGAAGCAAATTTAATCATCTTGGATATGCAGGAAAACATTATCCAGGTGAGGACAACAAATACCTGATCTGATTTGTTCAACTTGAATGTGTTTACTTGAAATTTAACAAAGAATTCCTCATACAAAATTGTGAAAGAAAACATGATCACAAAACACTCTTTTTTTCTGTTTAAATAAAGTTGAGAAGCTTTCTATTTGCAGTAGTGACCACCTTACAAATTCCAGAGATACCGAACATTCTTCTGGTTTCCTTGAATTGCTGCTGTCTTGGAGGGGTTAGGTGCTAGACAAGCTAATCCTCATGGTCAAGTCTGTCTGACTATGCGCCAAGTTTATAATGCAGTTGGTAGGCTTGCGGTTTAGCGTCTAGAACAGGGAGAGTTAACTAGGTTTTTTCTGAGGGGTTAGCTCCAGCTGAATGATGGTCACTGTCTACTATGAGAGCTATAATTACGACCACACTAGGTTAAAAAAAAGTACTGTGCAATAAATGATGTTGGCTTTAGACTCAGATTGGTAAAGTCATTTGTACCATGAATTTGCTATAGACAAGTAGAGGGTCACTGTGAATATTGCAACAGACTAATTTCATCTTCTATGTAATATTTCCAAAAATTCCCCAAAAGTATGGGTTATAATGAGTTTTTAATCACCCTGAAAAATGAGTCCTTACATGTTTCCACTGAGAATTATTAGAGTAGGTCCAGTATTGCTTTTTAGAGCTAGGAAAAACACTGTTGAAACACAATAGCATGTTAATTATCCAACTTTTAAGTTTTCTAAAATCAAAGTAATTGTCGTATAAAACTAAAGACAAGAGGTATGTGGTGTCTTTGATATCTTTGTAACTTAAATGCTTGGCATCATATTGATTATATTTTATACGGTTCAACTTTGAGTGCTACATATTCAACAAGCCCTGAAAATGTATTTGCAATTTTCAAAGCAAGCTGACGTATTTTTGTTATTATCCTTGGTGGCGTTAGTCCTGCTGTGGCTAACAAGCTGCTGCCATGAAGCAGTCCCTGTTATGCTAGGAAGCCCACAAGTATGTGTTGAACCCCATAGGAAAACTAGGCAGTATGCTGTATATAAAAAGAAAGAACGTTCCAAAATCTGTGACTCAGAATGGGGAAAGATACACTTGACAACCTTGTTTAGTAGACCAGAAATTAGGTATAAATCCCAAACCAACTGAGAGTATCAAAGTAAAGTCATTTGAAAATGGGTCTTTAGTTCTTATGGTTGATGGATGCATGTGTGGTGGCTCACCACACCCCTATCACCTTCCGCAGTGAGCTGAAACATCAGACTCACTGTGCTCATGGTCACCAGGCGTGTCCCCGGTGTCTTCCCCCTCCCAGCTCACTAGCACAGTGCAGGGATTCAGTGATGCTCTTCTTCCACTCCCCAGGCCAGCTCAGCTCTGGACTGTAAAGACAACCTGCTGGGAGGTGTTCTGAGGGTCCTGGTGAATTCTCTGAGCTGTGATCAGAGTACCACCTACCTGACTCACTGCTTTGCAACTCTCCGTGCTCTCATTGCCAAGGTAAACACGAGACAATTTGTTTTCTTACCCTTAATGAAGAGTAAAACTCTTAATGAGCTCAACCAAAACCCACACAGTGGCATTGCTGTAAAGGTCGTAAGTCCTCCTAGGAAGCAAACAGATGTGCAGGTACTGTGGGCAGTCATCATAGAGAGAAAAAACAGTGGCTCTCCTGCCTGGAATGTGCGGCTAACACTAGAAATTGGAAATGCCTGCTCATACAAGGTCTGTGACATGAGAGCAAAAATTAATTGAGCAACTTTGCTATTTCGCCCTTTTTCTTTAATACCTCATCTGATTAAGTTTTATATATTGTTCCCATGGTTAACTTTGACAAAATGTCATGTCATAAGACGCCAGAAGATTTAGAAATGAATTATTCATAGTCTGAAGAAGGCAGGTTATCCTTGGTCTATACAGATTATTTTTTTCTCCTTTATTGAAGATCTCAGTTGGTGTCTTCTATGCAGGATCTTTTTTTTTTTACTTTTATTATTATTATTTTATTTCTTTTATTAAATCATAGCTGTGTACATTAATGTAGTCATGGGGTACAGTGTGCTGATTTTATATACAATTTGAAATATTTTCACCAAACTGGTTAACATAGCCTTCATGGCATTTTCTTAGTTATTGTGTTAAGACATTTATATTCTACATTTAGATTCATATGTACCCTTGTAAGATGGACCATAGGTGTGGTCCCACCAATCACCCTCCCTGCAGGATCTTTTAAAGATCTGCTCACCCCTATTTAGGACCATTTTATTTTTCTTAGTCACTAATAACTTCCAAGAAACTCAGGAAACTGAGGCTTAATTCCTTCATAGTTGTGACTTCACCAGTGAATGCAGCTTGGCTAAGCTGCAGTTAGTAACGTAGCTCTGACCTTAGTTATAAAGTTCATAATTAAATCTTAAATCGACTGGATTGCTCCAATTCATCTTCTGACTCACGTAGCTCATTATCTTTATGGAGCAATGCATTGGCTCTGTTGGGCTTTTTGCTTGTCCAAGCAGACATTTGCATATTTCAGCAGTGCAGAGAGAATACCCAAGTGCCAAGTGATGCCTCATGGCCCCTTGTGTCTCTCCTAGTTTGGAGACATGCTGTTCGAGGAGGAGGTGGAACAGTGTGCGGACCTGTGTCAGCGAGTGCTGCACCACTGCGGCAGCAGCATGGACGTCACCCGGAGCCAGGCCTGTGCCACCCTCTACCTCCTCATGAGGTTCAGCTTTGGAGCCACTGGTGTAAGAGCTGAGACCAGCTGGGTGACCTAGAATAGTAGAGAAAGTCAGTGCAAAGCTGTGGCTGAGAGAAAAACATAAGGAAAAGTTAGTAGTGTTGGCTCGGCGCCTGTAGCTTAGCAGCTAGGGTGCCGGCCACATATACCAGAAAGTAGTGGGTTCAAATCCAGCCCTGGTCTGCCAAACAACAATGACAACTACAACCAAAAAATAGCTGGGTGTTGTGGTGGGTGCCTATAGTCCCAGCTACTCAGGAGGCTGAGGCAAGAGAATCACTTAAGCCCAAGAGTTTGAGGTTGTTGTAAGCTGTGAAGTCATATCACTCTACAGAGTCAGCACTCTGACTCTGTCTCAGAAAAAAAAAAAAAATTTAGTAATGTCACAATTTTACTTCTGTCCTATGAGAAAGAAACAGTTGAGTCCTTAGATGGATAGCAGCTTTCATTTTAATTTGAATGTTTTGACATGCAGTGGTTTCTAGCAGTATGTTTTAAAAAGAAGTGGAAGAATATACGTAGGTTAAAAGTTATCATCAGTGGCTCGGCGCCTATAGCTCAACCGGCTAAGGTGCCAGCCACGTACACCTAAGGTGGCGGGTTCGAATCCCCAGCCCGGACCCGCCAAACAACAATGATGACTGCAACCAAAAAAATAGCCGGGCGTTGTGGCGGGCGCCTGTGGTCCCAGCTACTTGGGAGGCGGAGGCAGGAGACTCGCTTGAGCCCAGGAGTTGGAGGTTGCTGTGAGCTGTAATGCCACGGCACTCTGCCCAGGGGGACAGCTTGAGGCTCTGTCTCAAAAAAAAAAAAAAAAAGTTATCATCAGTAGGAAGAAAATACAACAGATGGGCTAAGAATTCAGAAGAATGTGTCCTGTGCTGAATTGTGGCTGGCTGGTATGAGAATGCCCTGTGAAAGAGAACTTTAAATGATCAGTATCAGTGAGACGAGTTTCAATTAAAGCTAAGAAGCCTTGGGAGTTTGACTCTGTTCTAGAACAATCAACCTTTGCTTCAGTTTGTCTAGATTTTGGTATTTTGGAATTTGGATTTTGGAATTTTCATCTGTGGTTATGTTAATAAGCATGCTCAAATGATTTTTTTTTTTTTTTTTGAAACAAGAGTCTTACTATGTCGCCCTCAGTAGAGTGCCATGGCATCACAATTCACAGCAACCCCAAACTCTTGGGCTTAAGCAATTCTCCTGCCTCAGCCTCCCAAGTAGCTGGGACTACAGGCGCCCACCACAACACTTGGCTATTTTTTTGTTGCAGTTGTCATTGTTGTTGTTTAGCAAGCCCAGGCCAGGTTCGAACCTGCCTGCGTTGGTGTATGTGGCTGGCACCCTAACCACTTAGCACAGCTGCCAAACCCTCAAATGATATTAAAAGATAAATTGGCCCATGGAAGAAAGGCAAGGTTCTTAGAATAGATTAAGGATTGCTATTTAAAAGCCTCTAGGACATTCCTGAGGAGGCCTAGGGATAGCCATATTTTTCCATGGGCCTGGAAGGAAAGGAAAAAGGAAAAGTTGCTTCTCACCCAGAGTGCAAAATCTCAGAATTCCTCACCACAGAGGTCCCATTCCTCTGTGCAGTTTGAAGTCCCAAGAAGAGAGACTTGGCACAGAAGGATGTACAGCATCCTGTGACCCAACTGAGAAGGAACCTTCCAGCTCGCAGAGTTGAGGCAGCCCAGTCCCCAATGAAAATTTAAAGGGGGTCTGGCAGATTTATGTGAAAGCAGGATCCAGATAAATCCTTTAAACAACAGTATGAGTCTTGTGCAGAGTCTAGCGCACGTTTTATTGTGAGATAAGGAAAGGATGAAAAAGAAACATGGGGGGTCGTTTGGGTCTGGCCTTGCTGCCTTCAGTTACCTACCAGCTGAGAACATCTTATTTGTTCCATCTTTTTTTTCTTTCTTTTTCCTGAGGCAGAACTTTGCAAGAGTAAAGATGCAAGTGACCATGTCTCTGGCATCTTTGGTGGGCAAGGCCCCAGACTTTAATGAGGAGCACCTGAGAAGATCCTTGAGGACCATTTTGGCCTATTCAGAAGAAGACACAGCCATGCAGACAACCCCTTTTCCCACCCAGGTAAAGAAGCACATACCTTGTCTCATGCATGGTTTGGGATCAGCCAATTACTGTATATATACATACATACATGATTTATATATGAAGATACAAAGTTTGCAGATGTTTATTGGTCAACAAATGTCTCAGTGCTCTGAAAAGTACAAAAAAAATAAAAATACATCCACCACTGTCTCCAGCTTCAAGATGCTAACACTCTCTTTGGAGGTCTCAGTCTCAAAACAATTAGGCTGCGCTACAAGACAACTGACACTTCAGTGCCAGGTGCATGGGAGGAAACTGAATGCTGGGTAAGGTTGGAGAAGGGGAGGAGTGATTAATAAACAACCCGGTAGCCAGGGAAGCCCACAGGTGTCAGGAGTAAGATTGAAAGGCTGGGGCAGGATTCAGCTGGGAAGGGAAAAGTGAAGGGACGTTGGACACAGTGGAGAGAACAAAGTGTGTCTAAGATGATGATGAAAGGACCAGCTTTACTGCTGAGGGGTACTGGAAAGTAAGCAAAGGCCCAGTTAGAGACAACTCCTAAACAAGCTCAGGCCTAAGGAAACTGGCAAGGGCAGTAATCTCTCCATCGCCATTACAAGCCCATGGAGCTCTAGCGTGTCTCATTTATCTTTTAACTCCAGCTCCTGGCCTGCTCTATGGTAGGCTCTCAAATAAGTGAAAATGAATGAATAAATGAGGGATTTTTTCCTTATTCCCTTGGTCTAATAGCCCTATTGGCACAGTCTCTCCTGCCTGCTCCAGCAACGTCGCATCCTCATTCTTAGAACCTTTTTCTTCTCCTCTCCTCTGCATCAACTCCTACCTCTCTCATTTATGCAGATACTCACCATAAGACCAAGCCAAATATGATCAGTTTAATAGAGGCCTTCAGTGCCTTCATTCAGTGAAATATATCTAGTGGTGGGAATGTTAGGAGCCTTGACAAGCCGGTAGAGGGGAAGGGAGGCAGGACAACATTCTGTGACTCAGACACCTGCAGGGTCTATAGAGGAAGCCATAGTCCTCATCCTTCTTTATGCTGCTGGCTCCCCTGGCCTCTTCTCTCTTGGCTTTTGTACTTAAGAACAAGTGGTTGGAAGAGGTTTTAAAATCTCGAAAGCCCTAGGAAGATCTGGGATCCTTATGAGACATGGAACCCAAGCTGAGGTCCTAAGCTCTCCCTACTTGCTGTTATAAATAGCCTTGATATTCCAGTTCAGTTTAGAACTTTTCAGGTTGCAAGTAACTGAAACTACTTCAAACTAATTTAAACACACATGTATTGGAAAGGGAGATAGGCTTGGCGCCTGTGGCTCAAGCGGCTGGGGTGCCAGCCACATACAACTAAGGTGGCGGGTTCGAATCCAGCCCGGGCCCGCCAAACAACAATGATGGCTGCAACC